ACAAGGAAAGAACTTGGGAATCATCCACCTCCCTGTGTCTCTGCTTCTGCTTCCTTCAGCTCTTCCCTGTCCATCAGGGGACTTCCAGTTCCACTCACTGGAACACTCCTTCTGTTTTATGAGATGAAGAGTTGCCCACGTCTAGAATAGCAAATAAAATCGTGACTGTGTCCTCTGACAGCATGAAAGGCATGAAGCACAGAGGCCTCCTCTCGTGCCGGGATGAAGCCATCCCACTGCACTCTCCTGGGGACCTGAGCTCTCGGTCAAACGTGGCCTGGGGCTCTCTTCTGTCTGGGTCACATCCCCTGCCYGGGAGGGCGGCGTGCCCTCGGCAGGGCCCTCTGCACACTGTGGCACCCCGTCCATCTCTTCACCTGGACGCAGTCACACAGTAACAGGCCTAACAACAGGCTGGAGGCTGGACCCAGAGGTGGCCCAGCGTGTGGGACGCATCCTGACCCCATTCCTTCCTGGGAGGACTGCTTCCTCTCTTCACGTCAGTGACTCAAGCCTCATTGCTCATGAACTCTGTGCTAGCTGGGTCATTATTTAGGTCACAGCTTGCTCCACCTCTCCTGTCTGGGCCCTGTGAGAAGATAGGCAATGTGGTGGCAGGGAGGACATCTGGAGCCTCGCTCTTCATGAGATCTGGGCAGTTGTGTTTCCTGTTTCCTGTTGGTGGTTCCTGTGCAGCTGTTCCAAAGTTTCACATCCTTGTCTACAAATTTCTTTTTCATTTCATTTCAAGTGCAATTGTCTACAAATATACTCCAGGAGGAAAATCTGGAAAGAAAACTCTTAGGTAAGTTTTCATTGTTGGTCAATTAACAAATATACTGATTCAGTGTGTTATTTGCTGGATTTGTCCACTTTATAGCTCTTCACCTGACATTCTGAACACTAGATTTCTTTTATATGCCTGTATCTTCCATTCACACCACTTTATCCTTTGTGTTGATGGGGAAGGCAAGCTGTCTTTGAGCCTATAGATCTGTTCCTAAACTAGTCACTGTGTTGGAAAATATGTCAAAGTGGTTATCTATATCTAAGGAAAGAAGATAAGCACTTCTTAAAGTTGCCCTAAGTAAGATCTCAGRAGGCTGAGGCAAGAGGATCACTTGAGCCCAGGAGTTTGAGGCTAGCCTGGGCAATATAGGAAGACCCCACTTTGGAAAAAAAAAAAAGAACTTTGTTTATGGTTGGGGATGTGGCTCGGCAGAGGAGTACTTGTGGGARGTACTGGGTTTTATCCCAAAACAGAGGCAACAAGAAAAAGTTTTCCTAAAACCCTCTAGGTCACCTGAGTCCCACTTGGGATCAGGCAAAGAGTTGAAATTGTCAGGATTTCTCTGATGATATTTACGCCACCCAGCACACGGTGCCCTGTCCTGGGGTTCCCACCTGGAGCACTGTGCCTGCTCCTAGAGTTCCTGCCCAGAACATTTGTGTCCCTCTCTGAGGAGAGCAGAGTTACTTGGAGGCATTTCCTCTTCCCAGATGAGGGCTTCCCACCTGGGCACTGCTGACATTCTGGGATGGAGCTTTCCTGCTAGGAGCTGATCTGATGCCGTCTGGTGGTATCTCCCTCTGGAGAAAAGGAGCACTTCCCCAGCTCTCCCCCCAATTGTGAAAGCCAAGACCATCTCCAGGCATGGACACACCCCAGGTACTGACTGGAGGAGGTGGCCACATAGCACAGCCTGTCTGTGTGGCCCTGGGTCAGCACAGGCTTCTCAGGGCATTTTGTAGAGCYGGCTGTTAGGGCAGAGTCTGGCCCACCAAGTGGAAGGGTATTGTGTGCCACCTTTAGCTTCAGGGACATCCTGTTCCACAGTAGCAGCCCTGCCCACAGTGCTGTGGTGGACACCCCAACAGCAGAGACTTGGATCACAGAGCACCCATCATATCACCAGAGACCTGCCCACTCGGTTCCAGGGGCAGCTCAGGAAGGCCAAGCAGACCCTCCGAGGTCCAAAAGCCAGTAGCTCCCCGAGGAAGCTCAGAGCCCTTGACTGTATTCTTGGATCCAAGCCCTAGGCACTGTTTTGTGGCTCAAACATTTTTAGAAAGATGTGCTTTTAGGAAAAAAAAATGGACACAAGTGTGCTTGCATGTGTAGATATGATTTCAGGAAGACACAGATTTCTCTGATGAGATTTTACTTTGTAGGAATCTTTAATTTTCTACAATTAAAGAGAAATTACTCAAGATCCTTATTCAGACTGAGGGAGGATGGTGATGGGCAACTGCAGTGGGGTCTGGCCACAGGGGAGACAGTGGGCTCCACTGGAATGCAGGGTAGGTGGAGTCGGGCGGGGTCAGGTGAAACCTCACCCAGAGGGAACGGCCAGTTTAGGGGTTAACCCCTGCAGGGTGGACTCAACAGGATTCCTGCTGAGGAAGCTTCAGTGGTGAAGATACTGAGGGCAGGTGAGGAATTTAATCAGATACCAAGGGGGGCGGATTTTTCACTAAGTGATTTTTCACTAAGCAGGATTCCTGCTGAAACTGGCCCAAGGCTCTTCCTTGAGGGCCTCTAGAATCCCACCTGGAGTCAGTCCAGGGTGTCTTTGCCACAGGCAGGTGGAAAGCTGACCTGTTGGACTGGCTTTGCTGACCTTTGTTTGGCTGGCTGCTGGCCTGGGTCTACTGGTGTGAAGTCCTGTCAGGAAGCACTGGGCCATCTCTGGGGCCCACTGAATGAACTCCTGCTCTTGGATCTAAAATCATGGGAATTCTCTTCTCCCTCTCTCACCCTGAGGTACTTCCTCTGAAAACTCATTTGCTGAGTTCAGCAGAAAGAAATAGGCAGGAGAGGAGAAATCGCACCACCAGTCTGAGAATGTCTTTTAGAAGTCTGTCTTTCTTAAGGAAACARCCAAACTTTGCAAGGAGCATGTTCTGCCTATGTGATCAGGAAAAGAATGTTCATTGCCACCTCCTTTAAAAAAGTCATGTGAATTGTTTCCACACTACCAGTGCAATGGTATCTCAAGGTCCAGACTTGTGGGTGTCTCTCAAGTTCAGCGGCACTCACCTGGACCTCAGCGGACACTGGGGTGCCTGCGCAGACCCTGTGATACCTGAACAAACAAAGCAAGGCCAGTGTTTAGTGTCCCGCACAGTAAGCTCATCAGGAATGTCCTTACTGTGGTTCCATGTGTAGGAGGGAGCAGCTGAGGGACAGGTGACCAAGATGGGTGGGTGGAGGTGAGTGACCAGGTGGTAAACATGGGCTTCTCAGGTGATGAGAGAAGGAATAGACTGGACTTCATCCAAAGTCCTCAAGTCCGACTGGAGTGTCCTGGGTTTTACCTACAATCGTTAACTGCAGGCTGAGGACCTAACCTGTAGGTCACGGCTCATCTTTCTAAGCCACAGGTCTGGTGCTGGGCAGTCCCAACATCACTCCTTAGAGCGCCCTGAGGATGGAMGGAGGAGTAGGGAAGGCTGAGGCCTGGATGCTGGCCTGCAGCAAGCACTCACACAGTCTTTGTCTTCATACAAACCTACGGACGCAGGGTAGCAGCAAACCTAGAAGAAATATCAGAGCAACCCCACCAGAGGTGAAAGAGAATGCCAACTTTTCTCAGCAGGTGCTGGAGACGCGCTCACACTGTACTCATGATTTAAACTTATTTCATGCCCAGAACAGTCCTGAGGGTGATAAGGCAGGTGTCTTTGACATGTTGCAGGAAAGGGGGAAAAGCAAGTCTCAGGGTCCATCCTGTTTTTAATTCGCCTCAGGAGACATTTTTGAAGGATTCTCGTCTAACAGGCTTTGGGTGGGGGCAGGCAGGGTGGGTGGAGATTTCTTGTTATAGAAGCACCTAATTTCATTTGTTCTTTCAACACTTATTGATCATCTGTTAAGYGCCAGGTAGTATTCTAGGTGTGGGGACAGAGGGAGCAAAATTGGGGTCCCACTCTCAGGCTTCACATTTTAGCAGGAAGAAACAGGAAAATCAAATAACTGAAATAACATATAAATAAAACAACCACACAATGTTTTTATTTATAAATAAATAARACAAACAGAACTGTAGTGTGGCTGACGGTGACAGAGTCATCTAGCTACAAAAGGCCTTAGGGAAGGCTCTGCTCCTGGTCACCTGTCCTCCCTGGATAGGTCCAGAAATCCCAAAGCACCTGGCTGGTCTGGCATCCACACTGCAGCACCGACCTCCGGGACCCAGAAGCCAGCAGGTGCACACCGCAGGCTGTGCTGCCTCAGGTCTGACTCCAGAGCCACCTTCTCTGTGCTAGGCTGGGTTCTCCAGAGTCTGCCAGTCTTTGCTCTCAAGGGTCCCATTCGAGGACACCCAAGGCCAGCCTCCAGGCCCAGTCTCTGGACAGGAGGGTGGTGCAGGCAAACTTCTTTTCAGAACGCCAGCAGGCAGAGGCCCTGGCCAACTCTAAGGAACTTCTGCCTCAAGGGCCAGCCTCACTGTGACTAACAGAACAGCTCCGCACTTCTCATGTCACCTTTCCTTAAGGGAAAGGCTGCACGGGCCCAGGTGTCACCTGTCTCCCCAGGATGTCCTTGGCTCTGGGTAGTTTCTGGGACAGGCTGGACGCTATTCTCTCCCAGAGGACAGGTCGGACATGTCGTGTGGGTGTGCCTCCACCCCCTACACCTCGGCACAGGCCCGTCAGCCTCCAGGACCCTCGGAGGCCAGGCGCTCCCCGGGGCTGGGCCTCKCGGGGTCTGCGTGCGTGGGCCTCCGGGTGGGCAAGGACCCCGCAGGGGTCTGCGTGGCGGGATCTTGTGGGTCGGGGGTCTCCCGCGGGGGGTGGGTCCCGCGGCCCCCGGAGACGCCCCTGCACGGAGACAGGCAGACCTCGCCCCGGAGACCTTCCCCCACCCCCTCCAGCGAGCCGCCCGGGCCCCGGCGACCCGCCCAGGACGCGAAAGGCGGCCGCGGGCCGGAACCGCGGACGCCCGGGGCGGGGCCCGCCGTCACCACGCCCCCTCGCCGTGCGCGTGCGCGTGCGCCGTTGCGGCAGCGGGCGTGAGCGCGCGACGGTGGCGTCGGTGGCGCCGGCCCTGGGGGCGCGCCGGAGGGGCCGCGGCCAGGTGAGCGCCGGCTGCGTCGGGTGCCGYGGCGCGGGGAGCTGCCCGCCGTGCGGGGCGTGGGGGCTCGGGCAGGCCGCCGCTGCGTGGCCGACCCGCTGCCCAGCGCGGAGGGGCGCGGACGGGCCTGCGCCGCCGCGGGGTTGGGACCTGGGCCGGGTCGGCGGGCGGGGTCGGCGCGGCGGGAGGGACAGCGAGGGGCGCTCTGGACCAGGTGGCCACGGGGTGGAAGGGACAGCGAGGGGCGCCGTGGGCCGTGTCCTCACGGGGTGGGAGGGACAGCGAGGGGCGCCGTGGGCCGTGTCCTCACGGGGTGCGAGGGGACAGCGAGGGGCGCTCTGGACCAGGTGGCCACGGGGTGGGAGGGACAGCGAGGGGCGCCGTGGGCCGTGTCCTCACGGGGTGCGAGGGGACAGCGAGGGGCGCCGTGGGCCGTGTCCTCACGGGGTGCGAGGGGACAGCGAGGGGCGCTCTGGACCAGGTGGCCACGGGGTGGAAGGGACAGCGAGGGGCGCCGTGGGCCGGGTGGCCACGGGGTGGAAGGGACAGCGAGGGGCGCCGTGGGCCGTGTCCTCACGGGGTGGAAGGGACAGCGAGGGGCGCCGTGGGCCGGGTCGCCACGGGGTGGAAGGGACAGCGAGGGGCGCCGTGGGCCGTGTCCTCACGGGGTGCGAGGGGACAACGAGGGGCACCGTGGGCCGGGTAGCCACGGGTGGAAGGGACAGCGAGGGGCGCCGTGGGCCGTGTCCTCACGGGGTGGAAGGGACAGCGAGGGGCGCCGTGGGCCGGGTCGCCACGGGGTGGAAGGGACAGCGAGGGGCGCCGTGGGCCGTGTCCTCACGGGGTGCGAGGGGACAACTAGGGGCACCGTGGGTCGTGTCCTCATGGGATTCGAGGTACAGCGAGGGGAGCTGTGGGCCAGTTCCTCACGGGGTGCGAAGGGACAGCGAGGGGCGCTGAGGGCTGGGTCGCCACTGGGTGGGAGGACTCTGGACTGGGAGCAGGTCCCAGTAGGAGAGGAGGGACAGAGTTGGGACTTGGCTGAGTCACCGCGGGGTGCCACCTGTGCCCTTGTAGACTCTCCAGTGACTGGGGAGAGGTGGCAGTTGCTGAAGCAGTTTGACTTCACCTTCTGTGTGATCTGCCACCATCCATTTACTGCTTATCTCCTTTCCATATTTTGTTTTTTACTTAAACTTTTCAGGAATTGTGAAGAGTTTGAACCTTCCAGAATCAGCACTAGCCTGCTGGCCCTGGCCCCCAGACCCTAGTTGCTATGGAAACAGTGATGAACTGGCTCTCTTCTTCTAAGCCCTTTCTGTTATGAAGATCTCCCTGAGCATTCAGTCTCCTTGAAAAGAGCTAAAACAGCAGGTTCTCTGGGTGGCCTCGAGAGGTTCACTAGGGAATGTTTTATGGTAGAAACTGGTAAAACCTTGAGGCATTGGGAGCACATCCCTAAGATAGGTCTCTGCAGCCACACACAAGTACCTGGAAGAGGATTAGCAGGGTAAATGTGATAACACATCACTAAAGAAAAGAAACAGGTAGCTTATATACTTTTATCCTTTTTAAAGAAAAGCCGGGGGGAGGGGATGTGTATCTAGAAAAAAGATTGACCCAACAGGTAGCAAAAACTTGCAATAGTGCTTAGAGCCAAGTAGGAGGATTACAAGGTTTTATTTCTGTGTTTTTATGCTTGTTTATATTTTTAAAATTTTGTTAATTTAGCATGTATTTCTTTTGATTTTGGGGAAAATATTTTATCCACTGCCCATGTGTGATTCTCAAAATATTAGAAGTATAATTCTCATGCAGACAGCCCATGCCATTGTTATTTAGCTTATTAATAAAGACCTACCAGGAWGACGATGCCAGTTCACAGATAATAGGCAGAAGTAGGATTTTTGTAGTGAGTGGATAAAAGGAATACTAAAATATGGTTGCTGGGTTGGTTACAGAGTTGGTATCACTGTGTAATGAAACCCAGCCTTTGGGATTATTCTTCATCCTGGGTGGAAAGKAAATTTGACTAACCTTATCAGTGTTCTGTAGGTTAACTCCGATGTTGCAGATTGTGACTGTCTGGTCATTATCAGTGGTAAATAAGTGTGTTTAGTTTTCCTAAAAGTCAAGTGATCCTGAAGGTTTTCTGAAACAGTGRTTTGGCTTGGCAAAAAAGTTTTCCCTCTTTGACTTCATTTCCAAGTTTTGGATAAACGACTTTTTTTGGCAGGGGGTAGGGGCAGTTACTGGGGATTGAACCCAGGGGCACATCCCCAGCCCTATTTTGTTTTTWTATTTAGAGACAGGGTCTCACTGAGTTGCTTAGTGCCTCGCGGTTGCTGAGGCTGGCTTTGAACTCCCTATCCACCTGCCTCAGCCTCCCAAGCTGCTGGGATGACCGGCGTGCACCGCCGTGACTGGCTTGGATGAACTACCTTAAACACAAAATGCTGGCACCCTCAATGAGCAGGAGCTGTCTTCAGATTTTGGGCAGGCAGAGATGAAGGGTCCTGTGACTGCTGTATCCCAGCTCCTGGTGACAAGGCTACCTGGTTACATGGCAGCACAGGACTGGCACTCTTATTAATTTGTATTCAAACTTYTTTAAAGGCAACATTCACTGAAGTAGAACAACTGAACCTTATCAGAGAAAGAATAAGAACAGGGTTGAAGAAATGTTTTCCCAAAGAAAGCAAAGATCTTCAGAGATGGGGCTTTAGGCTGGTCCTGATGTGGCAGCACCTTCAGGCTCCCTTCTCTCCCAGCTCTGCCACCACCGGTGAGGCCAAAGGGCTGAGAAGAGAATGGGAGGACTTGGTTGCAGCCCTAGAGGCCACAGTGACGCCAGCTGTGCAGCACACTTTAGGCCTCACTCCKGGCTGATGGGAGGCAGGAGTGCAGGGGGAACAGTGGTGACCCCAGCAGCCTTTTTTGCCTCAGGTGAGAGGGAAGTGGTCAGGCCAGGGAGTAGAAATATATGCAGAAGGAGAACTAGAGCTTGTCACATAGCCATCTGTGCTGCCCACCAGACAAAGGCCCCACAGAACCTCTCTGGGCTCCCACCTGGTGACTCAGGATGAGATGCCTCACAGCAGCTTTCAGGGCTCTGCAGGACTCTTGGGAAGGCTGACCAGCTAATCCTGGGACCCTGCAGCGGGGGGGCGGAGGTGGTGGGGGCATTGGCCCTCTACCCTGAGGCTCAGGCAGTTGAGTACAACTCAGGCAATTTCTGCCTTCTCAGCTGGAGGATGCTGAATGGCACTGGGAGACCAATGCACAGGCTTGCCCAGGGGCTCTGTGCACACTGCTGTGGGGGCATGCGTAACCAGGAGGTCTGAGCACTGAATCAGGTGAGGGAATTGGTGATGCTCTGGTGTTTATGATCTGCTGTTTCYGTATGTAACTGGCACATTGCCTGGGCCTTCCCGCAGGGCCTACTGGGTCTCAACTCTGGCCTGCCTGCTTGATCTGTATGCAGTTCTTCCTTTAAATATGGTCCTGTTTCCAGAAAGGTGCCCAGAATACCTGGGAACCATTTTGTCTCTGCAATTAAAAATTAATTGAACCAGCCAAATGTGCCTGGCACATGGTAGATGCTTCAGCCCTTTACTATTCTGTACTTCTGTATATTTCTTCCTCTCATATTTAGACACTTGGGCTTAATATGGTTAAGAGAGAAATTTATTTTATTAGCTTCTTTTTTTGTGTGTTTTTGTGGTACTGGGGATCAAATTCAGGGCCTTCTGTATGCTAGCCAAGCATTCTATCTCTACTTTTAATCTTGAGACAGTCTCATTAAATTTCCAGGCTGGCTCTGAACTTGATGTCTTCCTGCCTTAGCTTTCTGAGCARCTGGGATTACGGCGTGTGCCTAGCCCAGCTTATTTTTTAGCTTTTAGTTAGCAAAACCAAGATGAGAACCCACTAGACTGGACTGTTCTTGATTTAGTGCTGGTGTCCTTGGGTCTCTTCCAATCTGACCTACTCAGAACCTTCCTGAAACAGCACTTGTACCCATCACACCACAAGGTGGATGCAGGCAGAACTTTTTGGAGTTGGGGACTCACCTATGCCATGCAGAGGCCCCACGAAGCTGGGTAGATTGGCCCAGAGCATGTTGATGCAATCATGGCAGAATGGGAACTGTAGCCCCGATCTCATGACTGACTCGGGGAAAAACACAAGCAGTCATTTTAGGATAAGTATGTTTCAGCAGTTCAGTTTTGTGCAGTATAATTTAGAGGGCTGCAGTTCCGTGTTGAGAATAAGGGTCTGATTAAGGTTTGTCTCCTCCCACAGCTCTGGATTTGGCTTGAAGCAGGTCTGCACCTGTAATGTCAATGGGTCAGAAAGTACAGACCACACCAGGGCCAAGGTCTCTGGTCAGTCTCTTGGTTCATTTTTAAATTTGGAGATGTGTAAGTCCACTAGATTCTTACCATAACACAACCAGAGGCATGAGCCATGAAGTGTTGGTTTGGGACAGAATAGCCTTCTGGCCATCATCCATCAGAGTCCACATACCCCAAGAAGGTACTAGGGGTGGAACAACACGGAGCCATCTGAATTCCAGAAGAGATGTGAATGCTAGTGGTCTTTTCTCCTCCAACTCAAAGAGTTTTGTTCACACCACATGACCTATATTAAAGTTGAAAGAACACACGTCTCTGGGGTCTTGCCTCTGACTATATGACCACCTTCAAATCCAGGAGTTAATAGTTCCAGGGGTTTCTTCTGGCATTTGTAATAAACCCCAGAACTCGCAGTGGGCATGGGCTCATGTGAGTTGGGGCTTTTGGTGTCCTTAGGGGTGTGGCCTAAGATGTTTTTCCAGGAATTGGCGTAGTCGGTTAGTGTAGTGCTCCTGGTGGCGCCAGCCTGCCTACTCATGGTTGTCATCTGGAGGCCCTCCCAGAGCACTGGGGAACAGCCCCAGTGGGGGATCCTGCTCTTCACTCCTGACCCTGAGGAAGTGCAGGGCAGACTGCATCCTTGCTGCAGAGGCTCCTGTGGGTGGCCGATTTCATGTGCCTGTTTTGTAAACAAAGGGCTGGAGTAGGTAGCTTCACAGGTTCCTTCAGTTTTGTTTTGTTTTTCCTTGTTAAGAGAAGAAAAAGTTTATTTGGTCTTCATGGTTTCAGAGGTCTGAGTCCATAGACTGCCAACTCCATAGCTCTGGGCCTCAAGTGAATATCATGGCAGAGGAAAGCCACTCAAGACATGGCAAACAGCAGACAGAACTTCACTCACCAGGGGAAAAATATAAACCACAAAGACACACCCTAGTGTCCCTCCTCCAGCCATTCCCCACCTGCCTATAGTCACCCCAGTTAATGCACTGATTCGGTTAAAAACTCTCATGATTCCATCATTTGCCTCTAAGCTTTCTTGCGTGCATGGACTTACACACAAGCATTGGGGGACACCCAGTCTAAATCCGACATTCCATCCTGGTTCCAGCATTACCCAAAAGTCCAAGTCCAAGTCTCTGTTATATCGGATATATAATGGCACAGAGTAACATTTCCATTCCACAAGGGAGAAATAGAGGTTTAGAAAGAAGAATTGGGACCAAAGCAAGACTGAAATCCAATTGGGCAAACAAGTCTAGCTCCATGTCTAGCATCTGGGGCACATGGTCTCATGATGTTCTCTCTAAAGGGCTGGTGTAGCTCTGCCTTATGACCTTGCTGGTGGCGGTTTCTCTGTTGGCTCCTTTCTTTTTAATTCCTACAACTTTTATTGGCTTATATCTCACATTACTGGCCTCTCTTGGGGTGGAGGTGTCTCTACTGCAGCTTTGGCTTCCTTTTCACATCTCCATGTATTGCTCTCTCAGGGGCAACCCACAGGGACTCCAACTCYACTTTTCCTGGCCTCTCAGTGGAAGCCTTCATGACCCCTAACCCATCCTGCATTCCTGTAGAACCAGTACCGTGTGATTTATGCCAAGCTCTGACACCATCTCAAGCAGTAGCCAAGCCTCCTGGACCACAGTTGCACCAACCTCTAAATGCCTGGGCAGCTGTACTTGGTGAAACAACTTGTTAGGCTCCTCTGTGCAAGCAGAGTGCCCCCGTGGTCTCCTCTCAATGGAATTCTGTTACATTCTTGAGCCTGAGATAGGTATGGTCTTGCCAACTCCCGAGATGCCATCAAGCCATCTTTCCTATGGTTCTGGGTAAAGCATTTAGCATTTCTTTAGTAGCCCTAATCACTTTACCAACCATACCTTCCTTGAACATAGTTTTACTTGCAGTTTTCTGGCCAAACTTCCAAGTTTTTGAAATTTTTCTGTTCTGCTCCTGGTCATCACAGTAAACTTGGTTAAAAGCTACCAGCACTCTCCATGCCACTACCTGACTGCTGTGCTGCCTCAAAATTTCCTGTGTCACATTAAGAAGTCCATCATCTTTAAATTTAGGCTCACAGAAAATCTCAGGACATGGGCAAAATGTAAATGACTTCCAAGCCAGAACATAACCCAAATRCCTGCTAGTCCAGTTTCCAATAGAGTCCTCTTCTGAACCCTCATGAGCCTAGTCTTTACTGTCCGTAGTCTTGTTTGCATTCTGKTTTTTTGACCTCCCATGAGTGGCTCATTAAGCTCCAGTTACAACATTCTAAAGCTGCTCCAGTTTTCACTGCTGAACTTTCCAAAAAATTTCCCCCCACAAACCAGCTCCAAATTCTTCTGAACCAGATGGTCAGGTTGGTCCCAACAGGGACCCCACTCTTTGTACCGATTTCTGTTTCAGTCAGCTTTTTCATTGCTGTGACCAAAAGCCCTGACAAGAACACTTTTAGAGGTTTCGGTCCACAGACAGCTGACTCCATAGATGTGGGTCAAAGGTGAGGTAGAATATTATGGCAGAGGAAAGCAGCTCAGGACATGGTGGTCAGGAAGCAGAGTGGTTTCCTTCACTTCCGAGAACCCGAGACTGGTTTTTCCARTTTCATAAAATAGGTCCAATCTTAGGTAAATTTGACCACTTGAGCACAATTTTCAATCTGTGTATTCAGCAGATATTTCAGGAATACCTGCTGTGTATCAGACATTGCATCACCCAGCAGAATATRAAACAATGGACAGGCAGGTATGGGCTGTGCCCTCAGAGAGCCTGTCTGGTGGAGGTTGGGTTGAGCCATTAGAGTGCATTTTGGGTGTAGGAGTGGAGAAAATAGAAAGTGCTTCAGGAGCTTACAGTGGAGGCACTTCCTCTAGCCTGGAAGATGTCTGGAACAAATGCCTTTAGTGTAGGCTGCAGGGGTCTCAGCACTGCAGAGGCCCAGTCAAGGARAATGTGATGTTTCGGAGAACTGGAAGGTTCTAGCATGGGGTGAGATGAGGGGATGTTGGGAATGGAGTCCAGAGGGGTAGGTGGGTTATTCCTGAAGACTCCTGTAGGTCCTGGGCAGACATACCCCACTGGCTTTGGGAAGCCCCACCAGTGCCTTAACCAAGAAAATAACATGAGGAATGGGAACACAGGTCCCTAGAACAAGCTCTTGCTGTTGACAGTGGGACAAATGAGATGGCTACCTCCCAGCATGGAGGCAGGGAGTTCTTGGGTCTGTTGAAAGTAGAATGTGGGACCTGTACTGTGTGATGTACAAGTTTATCAGACTTAAGTTAGAATAGGAAATGGTAGTAAAAAAGCAGAAATATAGAAAGTACAAGGAACGAATGAACTTACACTTTTACGTTGCTGCAGAAGACAGTTATTGCTTTATTTTAACTTGTTTTTTGTTTGCAGTACTGGGGGTTGAACCCAGGGCCTCACATGCTTGGCAAGTGCTCTCTGCTGAGCAACACACCACCCCTTTTTATTTTCTTTGGAGACAAGGTTTCACTAAATTGCCCAGACTGGCTTCATACTTGCAGTCCTCTTGCCTCTGCCTCCCCCGTAGCTGAGATTAGCGGTATGTACCACCACGCCCAGATGAATGTGTTTTTTGAGTAGATAAATACATTGATGTGGTTCAGAGTATCTCCTCTGCCTTCAGCCACTGTTAATAGGAGAAAGTGAATTTTTGAAATGGGACATGTGTAGCTTCATACACAGCTTCACCAAACAAACTGGAGCACCAAGACAATGTTCTCTCAGGTTCTGGAAGTAAAGTCTTTAAAACTATTACAGGGTAACCTAGATGTTCTTCCTGTGGACTGTGAGTCATCTACCTGATGGACGGGCTGCCTTTGTTTGCCTGTGGAATCCGCAGGAAGTGTGCAGCCCAGTGCGATCGGGTTCCRGTGTTCCTGCCTGTTCACGTTTACGTTCACGTTTATGGGTGTGCCGCTCCATCCAGAGTTCATTTTTGCTCACTCTCCTGTACTGCCCATGGGAGTGATYGTGCAGTGTTGTGGTCTTTGTAAGTGCATAGGAGTAGGAGACAGAATTAAAGAAGTATTTCTGAGTGTGTGTTTCTGGGGCAGTGATGCATCCTTCTGCAAAGTCAACAAACGGTGCATTCTCTTCTTCAGATCAAAGGCGGATACATGAAGATCCCAGCGCGAGCTGCACTGTCTCCTTCCACAAGTCACAGCACAGGGCCCAGCAGCCCCCAGCCCTCCTTGGCCCCAGGACTACTCTGGTGTACRGTTTGGGACAATGACTCCTGTGAGCGAAGGGGGCACATCCAACAGCGTTTTTGACCTGGACTATGCTTCCTGGGAGATCCGCTCCACACTGGTGGTCGCAGGCTTTGTCTTCTACCTGGGTGTCTTCGTGGCCTGCCACCAGCTGTCGTCCTCCCTCAACGCCACTTACCGTTCTCTAGGGGCCAGAGAGAAGGTCTTCTGGGACCTGGCAGCCACGCGGGCTGTCTTTGGCGTCCAGAGCACAGCTGCGGGCCTGTGGGCTCTGCTGTGGGACCCTGTGCTTCAAGCTGACAAAGCGCTTGGCCAGCAAAACTGGTGCTGGTTCCACATCACCACAGCCACAGGGTTCTTCTTCTTTGAAAATGTGGCCGTTCACCTGTCCAACATGTTCTTCCATACCTTTGACTTGTTCCTGGTTGTGCACCACCTCTTTGCCTTTCTTGGATTTCTAGGCTCAGCGATTAATCTCAGAGCTGGCCACTACCTAGCGATGACCACATTGCTGCTGGAGATGAGCACCCCCTTTACCTGCATTTCCTGGATGCTCTTAAAGGTAAGCATTTCTATGGGAGGTGGTTACTGCAGAGGGTGCAGGACAAGGTGCCTTGAACATTTAACCTCTGGCTGAGCACTGTGGACCCATCGGCAGCAGAACCACAGCCCACCCATGCAGGAAGAAGCTCGTGTAGTCGAATTTTATTAACTTCAATTTTATTATTGATTTCTTGATTTTAAGCTTTTCATACTTATTRCTCCTTAAGATACTTTGCTTTCTTTTTGAAAACATGCTTTTTTTTTCTTTCAATGCTTAAAAAAATTTTTGAAGTAATACCTATGTGTACATATATCCTTATTGCTTTTTAGTTCTCACTCGCCCTGGCTCAGATGGCCATGCTGATCCCAGGCCACGTGGTGCCCACAGGGTGTTCACAAGTGGCCAGACTTGGCCCCTAGTGTGGAGACTTGCCCAGGTTTTCCCTTTGGTTTAGAAGACGCATATTTTTAATGTGTGTCTTCTGTACATGGTGAGGATTCTCATTTTGATGTCAAAATTATCTTCATGTTCAATCCTTTTTGACAATTTTTTTTTTTGGTAAGAATCTTGCAATCTTTTATGATATATTACCTTGTTCGCAGAGTATTTTATACAGAACTTGAAATACCACTAGTGTTTAATAATTCAGACATATAGGTCATATTTTGGAGCACCTCTCAGTCAGAACACTGTGATAGGTAAGTTTTGTGAAGGGAAATAATGAGTATAAAAATGTTGTTCCAGCCTTCAGGAGCCAGTGGGTGATGGCATGGCGTGTCACCTGGTTGGTGTGACAGGCGTTTGTGCAGCACCAGCTGTGTGCTTCAGGATCTACTGGATGTAGGCCTGTTGTGCCCTAGGAGAGCCATCAGCACCACACCCACTTTTGGAGACCCAGCTGTGTGCCCAGCCTTGTGCTAGGACCTGCATTTGCCATGACCCCATTTGGGCGATAGCTGGTTATGTCTTTAGGTGACAGGAGTGTTCAGGGTCACGGGCCMTTCTGAGGCATGTGCAGTGAAGATGCATGAGCTGGGTACCACAGTCCGCAGTACCAGGCGTCCCCTGCAGCCACTGGAGACAAACAGTTCCCACCATTAGAAGGCTAATGAGGAGCTGCAGGGATCCCTGAAGGGTGAGGTTTGAGGTTGCATGCTTGTCTGTGGCAGGAGCGATTGGGTGGGCTTCACCAGAGAGGAAGGTGGGAGCCATGATCACACTAAAAGTCACTACACATCCACCCACCCCTGCATTCTGTGCCAGCCTCGAGAGTGGATATGTAGCAGCTGGTAAGTGTGGGACCATCTTAGGTGAAATTCTGGGACCTGGGGCTCTATCAGCACCTGCCCATGTTATGTGGASATTTAGTTTTCTCTGTGAATTCCCTGCCCCTGACTTGGCATGGGTACCAGCATAGGCATCCTGAGGATGAAGGAATATGTGCAAGAGGGCCTTGGCCAGCTCTCTGCCCACCTATTCCTCTTGCACTGAAAAGCAGGGTCTCAAAAGCAGCCCTGCCATGCAGAGCATGGTRTTCTTGGGAATGCTTGCTCACAGATGTACAGTGTCACTGAACTAAGGTCACGATGCTGGGCTTGTGATAATGCATGTGTTTTGAAAACGAGTTTACAAATGTCTTACATTTTTAATTTTTTTTATTGAAAAATTTTTTAAAGGAGAGAAAAACCTCTTAAGCTCAGGAAATAATGCCCAGAGTTAATAAATAGGACAGCATCAATTAAAAAACTTCTGTATAACAAAGGAAGCAATTAAGAATGTGAAGAGAGAACCCACAGAATAGGAGAAAATTTTTGCTACCTACTCATCTGGGAGAGGATTAATATCTAGAATATCTAAAGTGCTCAAAAAACTTTACACCCAAAATATCAAATAACTCAAGTAATAAATGGGCAAATGAACTAAATAGATACTTCTCAAAAGAAGAAATACAAAGAACAACAATTACGTGAAAAAAATGTTGAACATCATTAGCAATTAGGGAGATGCAAATCAATATGACCAATATGGAAATCGGTATGGAGGCCCCTCAAAACTGTAGGCATAGAACCACTGTATGATCCAGCTATCCTACTTCTTGGTATTTATCCTGAAGAATTAAAGTCATTGTACTATAGTGACACAGGCATACCCATGTTTATAGCAGCACAATTCACCATAGCCAAACTATGGAACCAGCCCAGGTGGCCATCAAGGAAGAATGGAAAAAGAAAATGTGGTGTATATACACAACTGTGTTTTATTCAGCCACAGGAAAAATGAGATTATGGCATTTGCAGGAAAATGAGTGGAACTAAAGACCATCACGTTAAGTGAAATAAGTCAAACTCAAGGCTAAGGGTCATGCGTTTCCTCTTACATACGGAGAAAACAAAGGTGGGAGTGTCCCCTAAAGGTCAAAGAGAGGTCCATAGAGGAAAAGGGGCAAGGGGTGGGAGGCGAGGAGGGAAGGGACGTGCTGGAGAGTAATATTGGCCAACTATATTGTCACGTTGTGTGCATGGACGAATGTGTCACAGCAGATCTCACAATAACACACCAAAAAATGTGGGAGGAAAAACAGGAGAAAGGAAGGGATGGCAAGGAAAGGAGAGGAAGGCAGACAGACATGGAGGTCTTCCTGTCTGCATTCCTCAGGAAGTCAGGGCTGGGGCTGGCTGGGCTCCCCACATCCTGTCCCTCCACCTCCTGGAGGGCCTGCTCCCAGCGAGGGGCTTCTGCAGGTGCTTGCTCCTCAGGTGTGGTGGGGCCAGCCCTGGAGCCCTCAGCACCTCGGGGACACTGTCTCAGGTGGAGTGACCACTAGTGAGAGACTGTTGGGGTCGGTGTTGAGGGTGCAGTTTGTGCAGGATGGAGACAAGCATTTACTTCTTACTCTCCTCGAGTTAACTGCACACGGCCAGCAGACCCACCCCAGAAGTGCACCTCCTGAGTTAATGCAGCTGAGGGTCGGTATGACTCGGGGGCTCTGCTTTTTTATTGTCCTGTTTCAAATACTAAGTGTTATAAGTAAAGGCTGTGTTTAAAATATCCAACTTCTTTTGAGCTCCTAATAAAGCTCGTGGATTGTTGCAGAGTAGAGCGTCCGGATCCTGGAATTTCCCCTCTTTGAGTCTGACTTGACAGGACTAAAGGATATAAATCAAAACAAGAGGCCAGCCTGACTTAAGGTGGCCTTGCCAGGCTCACAGGGTGGCTCATGCCTAGGGCTGGGTCTAGATGTGGTTAGAATCCGTAATAAATGAGCCTCAGGACTCAGTCTTTGGGACACGAACTTCCACATCACAGCCCAGGATGCCAAAGAAGTGAATTGAACCCAGAGACACTTAACCAATCACTGAGCAACAGCCCTTTTTCAGTTTTTTATTTTGAGACAGGTACTATGTTGCCAGGGGTGGCTTTGAACTCATGATCTCCCTGCCTCAGCCTCTGAACCTCTAGGGTTACAGCCACGTGCACACACTGGTATGTAAGCCCAGGCTGCTCCACATGCAGGTTTCCTGTTCAAAGGTAGTAACTCCATCGTCTAGTGTGAGGAAGAGCAGGTGTGTCTGATCTGCTGCCTTCTCAGGAGGTTATTTCAGGGGCACATTCACAGTGTTTGGAATGAAACATAAGTTCTCTGTCTATTTTTCCTGTGTATCACCAAGATGATTCCTTGTGTCTTGATGCCATCCCCTGGTTTTTGCCAGTGTGGTGTGCACACTTTCAGGCCAGCGTGAGAGCAGCATACCTGTCTTGTTCATTCAGCGATTGTGGAAGTTGAAGTGACGTGTCTCTGAGGTTGGCCCTGCCTGTCTCTCTCGCTTGCCCCGCATCCAGTGTGGCTGCTCCTGCTGCTGATGTCCTTTTGCAAGTGCAGGACAGTATCCCAGTCCTGGGAAGGAGCTGGTGCCAGGAAATACCTTGGTCTGCATCGGGCAGGGCCCTGCCCCTTGTGTTCCTGGTCTGATGGGTCAGGCCCAGTATTTAGGCTGGAACTAGCTTCAGTGGTCACTCAACATAGTTAAGGCAAGTCCATTTTGGCCTGTGTCCAAGGACTCATGACGTTGAAATATTAAGAACTGAAGCAGAGCCGGGTGCAGAGGTGCATGCCTGTAATCCCAGCATCTCAGGAGCCTGAGGCAGGAGAATCACAAGTTCAAAGCCAACCTCAGCAACTTAGCAAGGCCCTAAGCAACTAAGCAAGACCCTGTCTCTAAATAAAATATAAAAATGGCTGGGGATTGGGGGTGTGGCTCAGTAGTTACCCCCCTGGGTTCAATCCCCAGTACCAAACAAACAAAGAAAAATGAACCAGGACCTGCATTTTACCCTGAGCTTCTCTGTTCTAGAAAGTTCTTTTCCTGAGTCAAGGTGCAGGGCTTGATGTCATCTATCTTCTCCTGTTGCTACATAAGCAGAGCTGATTTTCCCAATGTGTGCAAGTTCAAGGTAAAGCAAAGCTTCAGGGAGCAGAAATCAAGAGTGACAAGGCCGGCAGGTGAGGTGCCAGCAGGGCTCACCAGGGCTCAGGAGCTCGGGTTCAGAGCCAGGTGCTCTGAGAGTGAAACGCAGGGAGCACGGAGCCCTGGCCAGAAAGCCTGCTGCTAGCAGAGGATGAGGCCTCCTTAGGTGTGAGCAGGCTGGCTGGCTGCATGCTGACACCCGTTTGTTGGTCCGCAGGCCGGCTGGTCCGAGACGCTGTTCTGGAAGCTCAACCAGTGGCTGATGATCCACATGTTTCACTGCCGCATGGTCCTCACCTACCACATGTGGTGGGTGTGCTTCTGGCACTGGGGACGCCTCGTCAGCAGCCTGTACCTGCCTCATTTCGCACTGTTCCTTGTTGGACTGGCTCTGCTCACACTCATCATTAATCCATATTGGACCCATAAGAAGACCCAGCAGCTTCTCAATCCAGTGGATTGGAACTTTGCACAGCCTGAGACCAAGAGCAGCCGGCCAGAGAGGACCAACGGTCAGGTGCTGCAGAAGAAGCAGCCATAGCGGCCGTAGTCGGGACCAGGCGGGCCACTGTGTCTGTGGGTGCAGCACATGGGTTCCACAGCTCAGAGAACAGTGACATTTGTAACAAATAAGGTCTTGACTATCTAAGCTAAGTGAAACCCTGACTTTCTAGTCACTAGTGTTAATTCTGAAGTAGCCACAGAGTATTACAAGGCCTCCTTCACCTTCTGGAGCAGATCTTTGCCATTGTGACTTCCTGGACTCCTCTGGCTTGTTCCTGCAGGCAGTTAGCTCGGAGGAGGAGCCCTGGTGGCAGGCACACTGCCGGCTGGGGAGTGCTCATTGCAGTGCTCCTAGTGGGTGTGCTCCAAAGTCATTTTCCTATTGTTGGAAAGGATTGGCCTCAGGAAGGAATGGATGATTTGGCCTAAGGAAGTCCCAGAGTATGGCCTTTTAAAGTTGGTGTGTAATGGTACCACCTAGGGGCAGTGGAGCCGTTGTGGTGGCCCTGGGTAGGAGACTGCCACCCAGGATGCCACCTGCCCTGACGGGAGTGCAAGTTATAAAAACTTCCACTTTTTTTTTTTTAATCAAGAAAGATTTTTAAATAATTTTTATTGACATTGTATTTCTCAATTGACAAAATAAGGTAAGTGTTCAGCAAGCAGATATGTCTGGATTTCAGAGCCGTTTTTACTTGTGGCCTGTAGGTACCCAGGCCAGATCCTGAATCCTTGATTGATATTTGTCTGTGGACTTTAAGGGAAGTTATTGAGGACTTCTTCCCTGAGGTGTGTGGTTGACCCTAGTGGCCCTGGGCAGACCTGCAACCAGCTCTTGAGTAGGGGTCTCCGATGCACCTGGCTTTTACCACGCTGTACCCAGGTAGAATTTGCAYACCAACTTAGCAGTGTTGACAGACCTAGGAACATTTTATTCCCCATAAGTACATAATTAAAAGTGAAAGTATATTTTTATCAAAGCACCTTTGAATAAGTGCTTGCAGAAAATATGTTTTTATTGCTCTTAAAATCATGTGACCCCTGCTTGTTTGCATCATGGAACTCTTGGGATAGTGTATTTTGATGACTGGTGCTTTAACTTTATTGATTGTATTTAGATCAAAATATATGCCTATTTATCTCATCCTAAAATTATTTAAGCTATGTCCCTGCTAAGATCCTTAACTAAGAACCCTGTTGCTCCCGATGGCTGCTCCGTTCTGCCCTGTCCCATGGAACCAGCATAAGCTGGTGGTTTTCCACTGGGCAGAAGTTTAATAAAGTGACTGATTTTTACAGAACCCGAATGAATGTCAGTTTCCTTCTCTTAAAGTGAACTTCCCTCACTGACCAGGACCTGCAACCAGCTCTTGAGAAGGGGTCTCCAATGCACCTGGCTTTTACCACGCTGTACCCAGGTAGTATTTGCACACCTGGTGATATGTTGTCTTGGAAACAAATGTGATGGTCAAACCTCACGTGCTCGAGAAGCACTTTCAAGCACTGGGCTGAACTGGTTTCTGCACTTCACTGGGAGTCTGTCCTCCTCAGGGGTCCACTTGATGCCCTCTTTCTTGGTGGATGGGACCGCCAGCCTGCCCRCTCAGTGCGGTGTCCTGCACGCATGGCTCCTTTCTGAGTAGGGGCTTGTCAGTGAGGAGCACAAGGCTGGGAATGTTGGGACCCAGTAGCCTGTGCCTCTGTTGCCCCGTGGTCGCACGGTGCCTGTCCCCCACCAGCGCGCGAGCRGACCTGACACGTCGCGTGGTACGGCAGTGCTGGCAAGCAGCCTGCTGGTGTGAGCCTGCCAGCCCGCTCAGTGGCCGCGCTGGCTACCATCAAGACCCATGCCTCATGCCTCAGGCTTCCTCTGGTGGAGTGGGAACAGGCGTTACCTGGGAGGCTTCAGGTAACAGTCAGGGGTTCTGCCATCACTTGAAAGACTCACGATGGGGCAGTGTTGGCCTTAAATCTCCCCCGGTGACGATGGGAGGAAAACACTCCGTGGGCCGGCCTGGCTCTTTGGCTTGCCGTGGTGCCGCACCTTGGCACCGTGCTTTCTCTGTGGGTAGGACATATTTCTTGGTGTCCATGTTTTTTGTTTTTTTTTTTTCGAAGTTGGATAACCAAATGGGCCAGGAAGCCCGAATGWCTCAGAACCGTGGGACAAGCATTTTCACTGAGCGAGGGGGACTGTCCTGTCTACCACCCCTTCTCATCTAGCACCAAGCCTGCTCCTCTCAGTGTCCACTGCTCCCCAGCTGGTGTAGCTCTGCCCATGGTGGCAATGCTTCAGCTCACCCAAGGGTCTTGTGACGTCCCTCTGTCTCTGACTGGCAGCCCAGTGGAGGACCATTGCCTCCACTGCACAGCCGGGAGCTCCAGGTGGAAGCCGCTGTGGTTACGCATGGTGACACGGCCCTGCGTGCCAGGCTGCTCCTGGGTGCGTCAGCACCAGCCGACTCGTGTCTGGTGCCCAGCCTGGTGGGCACTTCCTGTGGGTCTCAGTCCTTGTGCTGCTATGACAGCACAATCCCAGGCTGATTGCCCTGGTTCTGGAGGCTGGCAGTCCAAGGTCAAGAAGCAGTGGGTTCAGTGTCAGATAGGGACCCAGCCTCCTTTCGCACTGTGGCTACGTCCCCGGAGGGAACAGGCCGGATCCTCAGGTGGCAGAAGGGATGGAAGGATAGCAGAGGGCCTAGGCTGGTCCACAGCCCTTCTCAGGCACTGATTCTCTGGTGAGGGCGAGAGCCTGTCACTCAGCACCCACAGTGGCAGGTACTATTAACAGAGCCACCCTCATGCCCCTGCCGCAGGAGATGTCACTGGCTCCAGGCTCACAGGGTGGTGCCTGCCTGGCCTCCTGGCACGTCTCCAGTAGCTGCCATGYCTAGCTTGGGAGGATGCCCAGTGACTGGGTGGGTGTCCGAGCAGGGAGCGACTGTCACATGTCAGCCCAGCAGGCACCTGTCAGAAAACAGATGCAAACCCCAGAGGGCAACAGAACATCTGGCAAGGGCACATCCACCAAGGTAGGGTGGCCAGCTTCGCCTGACGCAGTGTCCCACCTGGCCTGTGGCTGTAGGTGACATTCTCTGCAGGGAACTGTAGTCACTGAGGACTGGCCCAGCCAGGGGGAGCTGGGGAGAAACGGCGGCAGGCACAAGGTTGGGTGAGGTCTGCTGGGGTTGGCCTCCCCCGCTGGGAGCCCATAAGTTGACGGCATACTAACCTTTCTTCTGTGAGACAGGTCTTGGGTGTTTTATTGAAGATGGTGCGTTTACTCCACACGAATGCTGTCGTGCAGATTGAAGAAGTGGAGAAACACTGGGGCTGCCTAGTAACGCTGACAGCAGGACCTCAGGCTCATGGACCGCCACCATGCCTCAGGAGTGCTGTGGGCTGCCTTCAYGGGCCCCACCCAGCAACAGTGGCACGAGCTTGGAGAAGTACCAGTCAGAAGTGCCCCGTTGCATAGGATGCTTTCTCTGCTTGGCCTCAGACTGGACATACATCATATGAGTTGTGGGTGGTGCCCAGGCACAGAGGACAGCAGAGTCCAGCTCCCGCATGCCAGGGTCTCCCTGACACTGCCTGCTGTGCCTTAGGTGCCAGGAGATCAGCAGCAGGGGGCTGGACAGAGGCGCCTGCGACAGGCTAGATGGGAAGAAGCTGCCCCTCTGAGGTCAGAGTACAGGGGAGCACTGGGCTGCTGACTTTTCTTTGGGATTCCTCAAAATCAGGCCGCCTGTGTCTGCCTCAGACCCCACTCTGCATGGGGAGTGCAGTGCGCTGGCCTTCCTGTGAGGCTGCCCACAGCCTGAGGCTCTCACGGGCCTGCCTGGGGGCCCAGTACTGCAGGAAGAGGGAGCCAGGAGCCCGGCTGTGCATGGCCCCTCCTAAGAGGACACCAACAGAAACAACCTGGCTTTGGCTGATGCTCACAGTGCCTTCGAGTCGCCTCTGTGTCTAAGCCACTGTCTGCTTTGTTAGGAGAGCTTGTTCAGTCACCATTCCTCCTGAAGTGAACTTTCCTCTTTCAGTAATTAATACATACTCTGCATATTACTGTTTTGATAGCAAAAACATGCTGTCCTAGTCATATTTTAGTGCCATGATGTGAAGAATTCAGAAATCTCGATTTTCTTTTTTTTAATGAGTCAGTCTCCTACCCTGCAGTGCTGAACAAGCCAGGACCACAAGCAGGACCACRGCCTTCCTTCTGCACTCCCCAGGTGGTTGGGGTGCCCTGGCCTCACCTCTGGACCCCCACGTGGACGCCTTTCTCAGGATGAATTGGCCTTCGGATTGTACTTGGCCCTCTCACTGCTACTCTCTAATCTGCCTGAAGCCCCACTCACCTTACTTCACTGTTTACACCACCACCCCAGACCAGCCCAAAGACTCCAAAAATTAACCCCTAGTTAAAACTCTCAGTTATTACAGAAAGGTATTAAATGTCAGGTCCTTTAGTCTGAAAAGTACCTGATGAAAGTTTGCACAAAAAACTTATAATCCTTTTTGTAATTTTTGTAATACTTACTGTACTTTTTATAAAAAATAATACATGACATATAAAATTCCAACTGCAACTTGGCCCTTCTCGGCTACAATTTCTTTTGTCATGAGGAATTTCTCAGCAAACTTGGTCCACCCCAGAGAGTTTGTTGCACACACAGGGAGGACAGGACCTCAGGCCCCACAAAGTTTTGTACAGAGAGCTGAAGCTTGGGTGGGGCAAGACTGCCCTGGCAGTACTCCACTGTGCATTTTCTCTTAGCTCACAGCTGTCTCAGATGCAAAGTATGTGCTCCTGGAAAAAGTGCAGCTCAGGAAAAAACTCACTCGCCAAAAGTGACTTTTACATTCTAATTTGTAGCTAGTAGTTTGGCTTAGTCGTGGTGAAACCCAGATCCGTTTCCCCTTCCCAGGGGCTTCCTGTCTCCCTSGCCACCCTGCTGTCCTCCTGTCCTAGGGCTGGCCAGTGAGCATGGGGGTGTTCTTGGAAGGGTGTGTTTCCTTGGCAAACGCCAAGAGCCTGGAGCGTGAGCCGCCTTTCCTGATCGCCAGCCTCCTTTTGGCTAAAACGAAGTCACATGCCTGCAAAGGCACCAGCTCTTGTTGCCACGGGGACCGACTTAAGGGCCAGGAACAGCCTGTCTTCAATGACATTGGTATTTTGAAGAATACTAGCTGAAATGTCACAGAATAGCCCTTTTGACGGGATGGATTTAAGTTACATACGTTTGTCTGGGGCACTATGTAAATATGGTCCTTCCTGGGGTATCATGCCCAGGGCACTTGTCTGCTTACCCCCTGCTGGTCACCCAGTTAGGATGTTGTCTGGCTCCCCCACTGGTCAGTCACTATTTCCCACATTATCAGTTAACTTGCTGAGACTGCTTTGAGTGTTCCCTGGTGCCCTGGATTGGTCTCCACCGAGCTCAGTAAGATGGCACTCACCTGTCACCCCTGCGCTGTGCTCACCATGGAGGCCAGCTCTCTAGCCTCAGGAGAGCTCCACTCTCCGAGCCTCCTCTACCCTGACTTGGTTCATCTTGTCCAAGATTAGGTTCATTATTGTCTGTGCAAATGCCCACATGTGCAGTGGGGCCTGCTCAAGTCGATTCAGGGCCCTCTTTTTTCCTTTTCTAACACAGTAGGAAGCCTTCCTCTGCCCTCTGGAAGCTTCTCTGGTGAGGAATAGCATTTGGAAACCTAGGTAGAAGGGCGATTTGTGAGCATTGATGGCTGTACTTAGTCCAGCCCCTGCTTCCTCACCTGCCCACCCCGTCCTGGCATGGCTCTGATATTACATGGAACTCACAGGTGAGTTGGGGAGTACTTTTCACGGCTTTCTATACATGAGCATGGGATCCCTGGATATTTATTATTTGTTTGTTTATTTATTTGTTTTGAGTACTGAGGATTGAACTCGGAKGCACTGGACCACTGAGCCACATCCCCAGCACTATTTTGTATTTTATTTAGAGACAGGGTCTCACTGAGTTGCCTAGCATCTTGCTGTTGCTGAGGCTGGCTTTGAACTCACGATCCTCCTGCCTCAGCCTTCCGAGGTGCTGGGATTACAGGTGTGTGCCATCGCACCCA